AGCCTCTTATTGGCTAATTCTCATAACTTGCTTAACCCATTTCTAATAATTTATGTAGCACCACGAGGTGGTGGCTTATCAGGAAGGATCTTAACCTATGTCCATCTTGGAGAGGAGAGCTATAGTGACTGCTTCACTCAGCTTTCTTTCTCCCAGAATTCTGTTCTGTCTTCCCGCCTACCTATGTTCTGACCTATCAGAGGCCAAGCAGTTTCTTTATTAATTAACCAATGAAAGCAACAGATAGACAGATGACCCTCCTTCATCAATACGTTAATAGGAGAGCCACAAGTCTCTTTTGCCAGGGGAACAACTCCTTTTAGCGAGTAGAGGCTATCTTCAAGCTGCTGAGGGAATGCTGACTTTTGTTTAAATGCTGGATTTGGGGAAAGGAATTTCTTGGGGCACCTGACACTATGTAGACCAAGAGCTCCGCCTGCCTCTGCCTCCCGAGTGCTGGGATTAAAGATGTGTGCCACATTGAGTTTAGATATTTCTAGGCATCTGGGTTGAGAATGTTGCTCACTGAAGGGTACTTGCATGTGCATGAAGCCCTGCATTCAAGCCATAGACTAAACCAGGTGTGGTGGCACACACCTGGAATCCCAGTACTTTTGCAATGGAAGCAGGAGAATTAGAAGAGCATCCTAAACTACCTAGAGAGTTCAAGGGCAGCCTGGGATGCAGGAAGAGCATCCTAAACTACCTAGAGTTCAAGAGCAGCCCGGGATGCAGGAAGAGCATCCTAAACTACCCAGAGAGTTTAAGGGCAGCCTGGGATGCAGGAAGAGCATCCTAAACTACCTAGAGTTCAAGAGCAGCCCGGGATGCAGGAAGAGCATCCTAAACTACCTAGAGAGTTCAAGAGCAGCCCAGGATATAGGGGACTCTGCTTATAAGTAGAAATAAAAGCCGAGTGGTGGTAGCACATGCCTTTAATCCCAGCACTCAGGAGACAGAAGCAGGCGGATCTCTGTGAGTTTGACGCCAGCGTGGCCCACAAAGTGAGTTCCAGGACAGGCTCCAAAGCTACAGAGAAACTGTCTCAAATAAAATAAAATAAAATAAAAAGTAGAAATAATAAATGAGGTTTCTGTTCATCTTCATCTTATCTGTTAAAGGAAAATGCCTGTGAGTTGCTTCCCTTCCTCCTTTTCTTCAAGGTGCCATTCTAAACTGCTATGATTTAAAACAATTCCCAGGCTCCTTTAACTTCCTATTAAAAGGGTTATGAATTGGAGGTGGTAGCACATGCCTTTAATCTCAGCACCAGTGAAAAAGAAAACAGATAAATCCCTGAGTTTGAGGTCAGCCTGGTCTATAGAGAGAGCAAGCATCAGGACAGCCTGAGCTACACAGAGAAATCCTGTCTTAAAAAAGCAAAATAAATAAAAATAAGGAAAACTGCCTATCTATAGTAAATAATTGCAGGAATTAAAATTCAAAATACTGGGGATGGAGAGATGGCTCAGCGGTTAAGAGCACTGGCTGTTCTTCCAGAGGTCCTGAGTTCAATTCCCAGCAACCATGTGGTGGCTCACAACCATCTGTAATGAGATCTGGTGCCCTCTTCTGGCCTGCAGATGCACATGCAGACAGAACACTGTATACGTAATAAATGAATAAATAAATCTTAAAAAAAAATCAAAATACTAAAAAATAGGAAGGAGGTTGGGTCCTGTTGTAGAATATTATATTATTTTAAAATGTGTTATATCTTTATGCTGTGGAACATGTTTCAATGATGTAAAGACGTGTTGCATTCTTTTAAGTTGCATATGTTTAACTCTGTGAAGCTGTGATTCTTAGCCTCTAGAAAACACCTAATGGTCTAATAAAGAGCTGGACAGCCAATAGGAGAAAGGATAGGCGGGGCTGGCAGGCAAAGAGAATAAAAAGGTGAAATCTGGGAGGAGGAGGAGGAATAAGAGAACAAGGAGAGGACATTAGGGGTCAGCCACCAAGCACCCAGCCACCCGGCTACACAGCTACCCAGCCACCCAGCAAGTCACGGAGTAAGAGTGAAAGTAAGATATACAAAAGTAAGAAAAGGAAAAAGCCCAGAGGCAAGAGGTAGACAGAATAACTTAAGAAAAGCTGCCTAGCTACAAGCCAAGCTAAGGCAGGACTCTTTTTTTTTAAAATATTTATTTATTATGCATACAATATTCTGTCTGTTTGTATGTCTGCAGGCCAGAAGAGGGCACCAGACCTCATTACAGATGGTTGTGAGCCACCATGTGGTTGCTGGGAATTGAACTCAGGACCTTTGGAAGAGCAGGCAATGCTCTTAACCACTGAGCCATTTCTCCAGCCCCAAGGCAGGACTCTTATAAGAATAAGACTCCATGTGTGATTTATCTGGGAACTGAGTGGTGGCCCCCCTCCAAAGCCAAAAGAGTAAAAAAAAATAAAACAAAACAAACAGAATCCAGGTGTGGTGGCACACAGCTGTAATCCCAGAATTTGAGATATTGAGGAAAATTAGTTTAAGATCGTCTTCAGCTACATAACAAGTTCTGAACCAGCCTAGACGAGACCCTGTTTTGCCTCCCACCCAAAGAAAAGGGTGTTATTTATATTTTATTAATGTTTATGTATGGGTGTTTTGCCTGGGTGCGCACTATGTATGCAGTGTCTGTGGAGACCAGCAGAGGGCGGTGGATCCCCGAGAACTGGCGTTGGAGTTACTGCTGTGGCAGAGCAGGGCCGGCTCCAGTTCCTTGCGGTTTGTTTGCGCTCTCATCGTCACCATAGCGCCAGCCTGACTGCAGCCTCCCAGGCCCTCCAGCTCTTCTAGGAGTAAACTGATGGAACTATTTAGAAGATACACAAGCAACTGTTGGGACGCGCTTCCTTCTCAGAGATCTGCAGGGGGCATTCTCTCCCACACTGGACTGCTCTCTTTGGATTGCTTCAGTGTTCTCCTGTATGGTTATAAGTCTGAGCTCACTTCCAAGGTTTGAAACCCCACCAATTCCTGAACGAAAAAAAAAAATCCATCAACCCCTCAAACTCACCAATCCCTGGGCTCACCACAAGCTCAGGACTTGAAATCATATCAGTCCTTACCCAAGCCCCAGAAAACCGAACCCCACCCCCAAAAGCCTATGTAAGCCTGTCTCCTGCCCAGTTTCCTCCTGGTCCTCGCCTCAGCAGAGGCAGCCACCCTCTTGTCTCTCCCAATAGTTCTTTTGTGTAAGGTTTTTTATTGAAGGGCCGGCTCGTGGCTCTAGCAGGTCTGTCTTGCACTTCTCCATTTCCTCCGCATTGTTAAAAACCATTAGATTTATAAAGCCAGCCATCAGGTCTATTTCCTTATATGGCCACTTCCTCCTCCTGATCTCCAGCTATCGAAAGCCCCCTTTGGTTCCCCTAATTAACATACCCAATCAAAATATACCAGTGTCCTAGCCCATTCTAATACAGACCTTCCCCTTTTCTTTCTTAAAATTTAGACCTGTAAGGTCATTTGTTGTTTTCTGAATCAGAAAGCAGCCACTTTTTTTTTTTCCTGCTTAATAAAACATCTGTGAAAACAGGTGTTTGTGGTTTGTGCCTACTCCGGGGGTCCAGGAGGGAACCTCTGCTCTGGGGAGGCAGAGGGAGACGTTCCTTCAGTTGTGCAGTGTGACTTTATGAGTCCTTGGCTCCAGACTGCCAAGATACCTTTCCCCTAAGAGCTGCAACACACCACCACTACAAGATTACCCAGACAGCCAATCTCCATATTGAAAACCCACTGTTGAAACAGTCCTTGTGGGCTCACTTTCTTTTACCTCTTTTGCATATGTAGGTATTTTGCCTGCATGTGTCTCTGTGCATCACATGTGGCTGGTGTCCAAGAAAACCAGAAGAATTACAGATAGCTGTATGCCAACACGTGGGTACTGGGAATCGAACCTGGGACCTCTGGAAGAGCAGCCAGTGCTCCTAACTGCTGAGCCATCTCTCCAGCCCTTTTTTTTTTTGTTTTGTTTTGTTTTTTCGAGACAGGGTTTCCCTTGTAACAGTCCTAGTTGTCCTGGAACTAGCTCTTGTAAATGAGGCTGGCCTCAAACACACAGGGATTCACCTGCCTCTGCCTCCCGAGTGCTGGGACTAAAGGTGTGCGCACCTTCTTTGATCCAGATCTTTGTTCACAACAGGGTAGCAGGTCTGCCACTATCCTACCTGGAAAGTCTAAACTTTGTTTCAAATGACTTAAAGATATATCAAAACAAAAGAATTCAAAAATTTCAATGTTCCATTCTTCCTTGCTGAAAATAATTTCTAATTTAAAATTCTTATAAACCAGCGGGTTGTGATAGTTTGTGCTGCTACATAAATGCTAAAAAGGCAGAAACATGACGATCCCAAAAGTTCAAGGAAGGCCAGATTACTCCTTGAACTCCAGTGCCAGGATAAAGCTGCGCACTGCCACCTGGCTTGTGCCTTTTCTCTTAATTCTCCTGCATAAATTAATCTTTATTAAAAATGCCTTGTAGGACAAGATGGCTTGGTAGTCCAATGTTAAGAACCAACCATGCTGCAGCACACAGCTTCCTACCTGCCCAATAAATGGATGTAATTTTTTTTTTTTTTTGTATGTAGTTATGCAGCTCTGGCTGTCCAGGTTGGCCTCAAACAGATCCACCTGCCTGTCTCAAGTGGCATGCAACCACAATGCCCAGCAACTATGTTCTGAAGTTTTATAGTAGTTTTGCTATAATGTGCAACTTCTAATTTTTATGTAGCCAACTTTTGTTTTGGCTTTTGATACAGAGTTTCACTTGGGCTAGGAATATAGCTCATTGAGAGAATGCTTACCTAGCATGTGAGAGGCTGTGGGTTTCCCCTCTAGCACCACAAACAGGGTCTTATATGCAGCCCAGCTTAGCCACCAAATAAAAAACCTCATACCTTAGCCTCAATAGGGCTGGCATGTACCAATTGGTTTGTAGACATTGTTTTTTACTACAGTGTAGTAAAATAAACATGAGTCAATTTTTCATTAATCATTCTTTTAATTAATTATATTTATTTTTAGAACTCACAGAGATGCCCCTGCCTCTGCCTCCCAAGTACTGGGATTAGTTAGGCATATACCACCATGCCTGGCCTCTTTTTAATTTTTTGATTTTCAGCATCTGCACAGTGTTAATACTCTGATAAAATTGAATGTTTTTCACATGAGGAAAAAACAGTTTACTAATGACCAATAAAAAATGTAATACTTTCTAACACAAAGGCATAAACAGGAACAACAGAAAGGTTAAAGGAGAAACTACAAATCTCAAAATCAACTTCAGTCAAGACAACTTCCCCACGGAGCAGCAGGTGGGGAAGTGTATAAATTCTAACCATAGCACTCTGTGACCTGTTTTTCTTCGTCCCTTTGGTCATGAACTATTCCACAAAGATTCCATGTGATAACTTTAAATTTGGAGTTCCAACATGTAAAGCATTAAGTTAAAAAAAAATACCAAGATAAACATAAAAACAATCTTAAAACTTGGAAGAAAAACTCAAATGACAAAAACGTGGATCAAGTCAAACACTGCAGCAGGACAGTAAGTTCACTGTGTTAACAGTAAGTGGACGCCAGGACCCAGAAGAAATGCTATTGGAACTACGGTCTACTGAAAAGTTATTTCTCTTAACTAAAGGAAAGGTAACAGTAAAAGTTCAAATTTCACAAGATAAAGTCAGTTCCCTTTGGATTTACCTTGCACACAAACACAAAGTCTAAGCCAGTAAGCGTTGAGGGTGGTAACGCAGGGTATCCAACAGAAGCCTATGGTACACTTTTCCTGTGGTAAATTCCTTTCTCTAGATCAGTAAAAATATCCCAATATTTGCCAAGATACCATGGTGTGAAAAGCTGTAGACCCAAAGTATTTCTGTCACAGGGATGAAGGAGAATGTTCTGCCACAAGAAACCTGCTGCCCATTCTGGACCCAGGTTCTGCTACAGTTCCAGTGACCCTAACTGCCAACCCACCACTCAGCCCCATCCCACTCTGCAACCCTTTTGTGTTAGCAACCGCGCAGCCTTTTTGTCAACTAGTTGGTGTAGATCCTGATCCACCCTAAATCACAGGAAACGCTAGAATGCTCAGATTAAAGCAGGTACAGGAATGAACTACTTTAGTGTTAGGCTCCTTACCCTTTCATAACAAAAGAAAGGCGGAAAGACTTGGAAAGGGAATGGCTCCTGAAGATGTCCTAGCCTAGGCATTCTTATACCTGTAAAGACTGTTGCAGTCAGAGCATAGCAGTTATTAATAACATATTAATAACAGAAACAATTCGTAAGGACCTTTCCTTATCACTGATTTTTGCAGAAACGTATTTGTAAATTCTTCCTTGTAACCACACCTTAAAACAAGAGTAAGTGTGCTTGCTTAGCTTGATGACACACCTCTCAAGATCTTATGATGGAAAAGTGCTAGTTTTACAATACAGCTTTACTAGATTACAGAATACTCTCTTTACCCATGCTTTGCTTGGTTCATCTCTGAAACATCTGAAGAATACTTTTCTGTGAATTACTAGGCTGTTGGGAATAAGTGCGTTTCGATACATTACTACAATCATCTTTAGCGGAATGTGGCCTCTGTCTTCCATTAACTGAATCCTTCCATGTGTTTTTGAAGGGTTGCCTATACTCATCTTTTGTGCTCCTCTGAGACTTTGAATGCTCTGTATCAGTCTGCTTGACGGAGTTCCTATCTTTGGAGTTCTTCCTCTGTCTGTGCAGCAGCCGGTCTGGGGGTGAAGATGTGCGCAGCTGGTACTGATTGGGGGAGCCTTTCTGCCGGTTGAGCACCACTTGTTCTTTATCTACCTCCTTCTGAAGCTGCAATGCTAACAATCGGTCCTCTTCTTCTTGCTTATGTCTCTCAAAAAGCATTCGCTCCAAATCTATCAGTTTTTGTGTAAAGTTCACTTCTGTTTCTTCTTCATCTGAGGATTTGAGGAATACTTTCCTTCTTTTTGCAGAAAAGCATGGATCCATGACTGATTCAAACACAGATTCCTGGTTTTCTCTTTCGGAAATCTCTTTTCCATCTACTAGATGATACACTCTACTTTCTGGAACTCCGTTACCATCAGCTAACTGGGTCATATCTGACACAGAGCACTCCTCATTTTCTACTTTACCACAAGGCTTAACTGTAGCTTCGTTAGAGCAGGACACTTTGGCTTTAGATTCCTCATGATTTACAACACATATATCATCAGGATTGGTTGATAGTGTTTCAACTGCTCCTTCAAGGCACTGTTCAACATCCCTGGCACACATCCATGGCACAGGTGACTCTACTAAAGACCCCGAACCTTGTTCTTGAGTTTCTAGGTACACCTGCGGAGAAAGTGTTGGCATATCATCTTTTTCAATTTCTGTGTCTTGCCACACAGGGCTCTTCATGTCACTACTGTCAATTTCCTGCAGAAAATAAAATTACTGATTACATAAAGGGAAACCGTACTATATAAACCTCCTACATCGATACCATAGGTGAACACTATCACATGTTACTAATAAGGTATGTTCTTGTCACCTTTGCTCCCCCCTCCTCCCCCCTTTCTTCTTTTTCTTTTTATTCCTTTTTTGGTTTTTCGAGACAGGGTTTCAATACGTAGCTTTGCAGCCTGTCGTGGAACTAGCTGTTGTAGACCAGGCCAACTCGCAGAGCTCTGAGTGCTGGGATTAAAGGGGTGCACCACCATCGCGCAGCTAGGACAATTCATTTCACTCCCATGAAAACCTACAATAAGCTCCACAACTATACTCAGCATATGACCGATAGCTGGCATAAGGACTCGGCCTCTTTCATCTTTCTATCTTTCTAGATCTTCTCGGATATTTTAAAGATTTTGTTAAGCGTGTCAGGGGATATATGAACATGAGTGCAAATGTCCAGAGAAGGCACTGAATCCCCTGGAGCTGGAGTTAGTCAGTTAAAGTTAATGTTAGGAACCAAATTTGGGTCCTCTGGAAGAACACTGAGGAATCTTAACTGAGCCATCTCTCCAGCCCTTCTTCGGTATTTTAATGAAGTGACTATGTGGATCTCTTCTGAGGAAATCTTTTTGAGATAGGGCCTGACAATTTACCAATCTGATCTGAAACTTTGGAAAAGAGATTCTGCCACTTTAGCCTTCCAAATGCTAGGACTACAGGTATATGGCATTGTACTCCAAAGGATTTTTGTTTTTGGTGTTGCTGGGGACCAAACCTAAGACCTTGCCACATTCTGGGCTAGTGCTCTTCTTCTGACAGTCAGAAAGTTGTTTGTGGCTTTTTTGTTTGTTTGTTTTTCAAGGCAGGGTTTCTCTGTGTAACAGCTTTGGCTGTCCCAGAACTCACTATGTAGACCAGGCTGGCCTCAAACTCAAAGAGACCTGCCTGCTTCTGCATCCCAAGTACTGGGATTAAAGACATGTGCCACCACCACCTGGCCAAAGAGTACTTTTAAATGCAAAACTTGAGGTACATGGCCTTACAAGGGGAACTGTAACAAGATTATTACAATACTTAGAAAACAAAAGTGTGAGGGGGGCGCGGGGGCGGTGGTGGCACACGCCTTTAATCTCAGTACTCAGGAGGCAGAGGCAGGTGGATCTCTGTGAATTTGAGGCCAGCCTGGTCTAACAGAGCTAGTTCCAGGACAAGCTCCAAAGCTACAGAGAAAGCCTGTCTCGAAAAACCAAACCAAACCAAACCACCAAAAAACAAAAACAAAAGTGTGAGCTGGGAGTAATGTTGAACGCCTTTAATCTCAGCAAGTAGGAGACAGAAACAGGTTGATTTATCTCTGTGAGCTCAAGGCCAGCCAGATCTATGTAGTGAGTTCTAGGACAGCCAGAGTTAAGACCTTGCCAAAACAAATGTGCAAGAATTGGGGCATAGTTCAAGTGGCAAAATGCTTGCCTAGAAGTCCTGGATTCAAACCCTAGTACCACAAGATGGTGGTATACACTCAAAACTCCAACACATAGGAGGTGCAAGCAAAAAGATCAGCATTTCAAGGTAAGTACTATTACTAGCACTGAGGTTTGTTGTCTACATTAAACATGAAAAAGAAACACTAAATTTGAGATTCACAATATACACTTTCTTTTTACTTAGCCCTTAGGTAAAGAACTTAATTTGCAAGGCTGGAGAGATGATTCAGTGGTTAAGAACATTGGCTGCACAGCCAGAGGACAAATTCAACTTCCAATATCCACATGAGAATTCACAGCCATCTTTAACTCCAGTTTCAGGGGATCTGTCGCCCTCTTCTGGCCTCCACAGGCACCACGGACACAGACATACTTGGAGGCAAAACATACCATCAATCCCTTTAAAAATTATTTATTTTGGTTTTTTGAGGCTGAGTTTTTTTTTTACTCTGTGTATCCCTGGCTGTCCTGGAACTTGCCCTGTAGACCAGGCTGGCCTCAGAATCAGAGATCCACCTGCCTCTGCCTCCTGAGTGCAGGGATTAAAGGTATGCACCACCACCACCGGACAAAATCCATACATTAAAAAAAAAAAAAAAAAAA